GTTTATTTTTGAAGGCTCAACCCAGTGCTTAGGTAGGGAAGCACATTCCTAAGTTATAAGGAGGACCTGGTGAAAGAAGATCATCCAGGTGTGAAATGGGAGTTCAGAGCTTGTTTTCTTGGTTTATTCATGCTCAGTTGTGTGTGCTCAATGATCATTAAGGTGTTTTAAGTGTCTTCACTGGGTTATAATAACATGGGGTTTTTTTCTCTCTCTCTCTTTCAGGTATGGAAAAATTGTATCCACAAAGGCAATTCTTGACAAAAACACAAATCAGTGCAAAGGTATGTGTCACAGCATCTGTACCCTGAGTTCTTGCCTATGCTGTTTGTTTGATGGCTTCTCCATTGCAGAGGTCTGGGCACCAGCGGCATAATGAACATAATGTACAGTATATGGCAAACCTATCTAATAATGCCAATGCTTTGATGAGTTGTATTCCTAGTAACATTTCTCATTAATTTTTTTCATTAACAAACAAAATGAAAATCACAAATCAGAACAAGTATCAAATTGCTTCAGCATAAAACTAAATTACCTCCTAACAACTTTGGGTTGTCTGATTTAAATGATATCATCAGTGATGCAAATTGATTTCCTATATAAAAATGAGGAACTCTGGGGAAAACTTTCCCATGCAAGACACGTTTTAATTTCTTTCTTTAAAGCTTTAGCAACATTGGTTGACTAGAAATGAATTTACTGATGGGCCTATTGCATCTCAGCTTCAGCTATAAGCATCTCAGGATTTCAGAGTTAGTATCTTAGTAAGTCAGGTTTTTGTTTGTTTGTTTGTTTGTTTCCTGGAAGTATTTCTGAAGTCATTTGACTTTATCTGTGGCTCATGTTTCTTCATGTCTGGTAATCTCATACTCTTTTAAAGGTTGCATTACATTATTTGTGAAATCTATATGGTCTCTCTTGCATGACTCAGTTCTTACTGGAAAATTGGAATGTTTCTTGTAACATGTGTTATTTGTTGTTCCTCTAATCCAGTCTTTGTTGCAGTACTGAAATCAAGAAGTGTGGTAGAGCCAAGATCATTCTAAATACTGCCACTATTTCACATACAAATATAATGTGCTCAAGTCTTGGAAAGAACACTCAGACACTTCTATTTATATCCTAACCTACTTGGGTAATGGTAGTCAGATTTAATTCAGCAGTAAAAAATAAAAAAAGCATTCCGAGTTTCTTATAAACTCAGAAATGTGCTAAGTACTACAAAACAGAGAATAGTAAGGCATGGTTTCTGCTAGCTAATAGTTCAATTTCTAGTTGAAAAGAAACAAAGAAACCGATCCCAATATCCTTATTAGGATCAGTCTATCACCCTAATATGTGTGAGAGTATAACAGGTATCTATAACAGATATATCCACAAAATATTGTCAGAGGAGAATGTGGAGATTCATTTT